GATCACTTGAGCCCAAGAGTTTGAGATTGCTGTGAGCTATGATGCTATGGCACTCTACCAAGGGCAACAAAGTCAGACTCTGTCTCAAAAAACAAGTAAATAAATAAATATTTCATTTACTGAGTCAAAATTCTCTGCTTAAATAGCCTTTTCATGTGAAATGCAGAAAGAAATTCAACAATTTTTTCACCATTGTTTCCAATGTCCATAATCATCAGCCACTAATATATATTACCCGTCTGAACTTATGTGGCAACTCCAAAGTGCCTTCAGAATTAATTACTAACATTCTCTCTCTCCACATTTCACTAACCTAGAAGTTCATCTAAAGCTGGTAAGAATCCAAAAGTTTTACTTCACACAGAAGAGGGAGGGCAGAAAAATGAAGTTCAGAATATAGCAAAGTCAAGCTCTAGGTCTAAGATTTATGTCTTTTCAAAACCTCTAGCAGACAGATAACAAAACATCTGCATTTTCCCTGGTCTTACAGATATTATATAAAACCATCCTAATTCACATCATTTCCTTCAGAAACCACAAATTGCTTACTCACAGCCAAAGAACTCAGAAACTGAATAGCTTTGTTGAAACTTGGAACTATTTGTACTTGGGGTTTTTCTTCACACCTACATATGTATATACAAAATGTGCTTTCAACAAAAACGCTATTGTCTTGAGCCACATAGATAACCAAATCTCCCAGTAAACAGAAAGACAACCGCACATGAATATAATATCTAGATCCTATATATTCTTTTCCATATGAAGGATGTTTTCAGATGGAATTTACAGCTTCAATGTACCTTGGAAATCTGCCTATAAAGCAAGAAAATGGCAGCCAAGAAATGTTAGTTAATCACGTACAAAAGTTAGGACTTGAACTCCTACCCAAATTATCTAGTGCTTCTAATTAAGAATTATTTCCATAGCATACACAGCTTTTTAAAATAAAGGGTACAAACCCTGAAAAATCTTTATTACTGAGGTTCCTACTTGGTCATAGAAAAATGCTACTTCAAGCACAATATGCCATTAAGATGATGCTAAAGGAACAGATTACAAAGTAATAAATGGAAAGATTCTGTGGTAATCTCTGATTAAGGTGCCCTGTGCTATAATATGTACCCAACAGTGTGTGAACATACTAGGAAAATTTCACCTGACCATAAAAAGCCTCATCAACAATCAAGAAGGTAAAGCCCAAGAAAATTAAATTTTGAATTTTTAATATGCTAGAGAGCTGCTTAAGAGTCAAGAACACGAAACACAGAATCAAAGAACACAAAGAAGCCGAGTGGATAACCTACAAAAAAACTATAAAGACACAGCTGCCAAATCCCGGAACGGGTCATGCTTTTCCCAGCAGGGCAAAAGTGTCAGGACAGAGGGCTGGGTGGTACAGGCAGGAAGCAGAAGGACAGCTTCTCTGCCCATGCAGGTAGTATCCCTGATCCTTCTTCCTTCCTCAGTCCCAGAGGGAAGGACGGGAAGCCTCCTGGTGAATGTGGCTTTGTGGCTAGACAAAGGGAGCCAGAAAGGGAAAATTAGCAACAGTAGATCCTGCAATGTTAGTCAGTCTCTCCAAACAAGTCCCTGGAAAGAAGGGTAGCAAGTGACAGTGAGATGCAGCATGTTTTGCATAGGTGTGTATTTGTGACGCTTGTGAATATCGTCTAAACATCTCACAAGTGCTTAATCAAATGGAACAGACACTCACCAGTGTCGCTGCACTAAGGCATACAATCCCTCCATAATAAATAACATGGGGGTACTAATCTCCTCCCAGGTACACACACCCCTTCAAGGGATAAACTGAGTGTCCTATGCATCCGTGGGAATAGTTGGTGTTGTTTTGCTGTGCTGTTTTGAAGGAAAATGCCACAGGGAATCATTTAGAAAGAGATCCAGGCCACTTTTGATAAGGAAGGAAAAACGCTCCTCATGAGAAAGAACTGTATGATTATCTGAGGGCTGAAAAGGCAAAAACATTTTTCACATTAAGTTTCCTATAAGTTTTTTGAAATCTTTATAGGTAACCTGTTACTAGATTTCATTGTCAAAAAATAGCAAGGCATTTTCTTTGAATAAATGTGGTAACAAAGCTTTTGATTTTATAAAGGCTTTCTTTAAAAAATAATCAAGGCTTTTCAGAGCTTCTTCATGCAACCCCCCAAGCCTCTTTTTGGTGCTGTTCTGCCCCCTTGGAGCTGACCTCTTGCCCCCACATTCCTCTACCTGTTTATATCAAAACAAAGACAGGCAGAGCTCTGAACTGACAAGAGACATTTGGACCATCTAAGATTCTGGAAAAGTAAAACACAGAGGGAAACATCTATCTTTGAACCTTGCCATCTTTACTGTTGATGGTAAAGAATCATTTAGCCTTTTATAATGGAAAGGAAAATTATTTTACTGCAACACAGAGAGGCTCAGAATCATTCTTAATTTTGGCAGTATATATAAAAAGTATATATATCATGCCCCATGAACAAAGACTCTGATAGAACAGATGTGTCCCACCCCCTTCATTGTTCCTTGACATTTTTTAATTTTACCAAACACATGTGTAGTACTATGTATTTACTGTGCACTAGGAACAGTTTTAAGTGCTTTCCAAATTACAACTCATTTAAACCTTGTTATGGTCCTTTGAAGTACGCAGTAGTCTAGATTTGCTTTTGAGAGGAGGAAAATAAAGTACATAGAAGTTGAACAACTTGCCTAAGATCACACAGCTAACAAGAAGTGGAACTAGAATTTAAACCTAGGCAGTGTAACTCCAGGGTCCATGTTCCCCTCCAGCACGCTGCCTTTCAAACTATCACCAAATCTAAGAAAACTGTGATTTGCTCAAGCTTTCACATTACAATTAATGTGCAAAATCATTTTATACATTTTCAATAATTAGCTCATGTTACATTGTCGTTTTCTCAGATACTTGAAGAATACTATTCCAAGATACTTGAAGAATACTACTGTCAATACAACACAGAAAAGACAAATACTACTGAATACTATATTTGACTACTTTGCATTATTTTGGAAACAAAATAAAGGTACACAAAATTCTTTTAAAATAGTGTTTCATATGGCCTAGGAAAGCTACTTGCAGGAAGTATAATAAAACACTAGGAAGTCTCTTGCAAGTTTAAATTTTGTAAGGCTGCTGCACTCAAATTCAGAATCACTAAGCGGGTGCATATTACAGAAAATTTAATTACATGGTACAGAAAAATAGAACAGCTCTTAGAGGTGCTTCCTGGGGAATTCCACAGTTGATGAACCTCTCAGAGCTTGGAGGAGTTTTTTCTCCTTAGAATTCTTTTAGCATACCTGGCAGAGCACATATGTGCCCCTAAGCCTCTGCCTTTAGGGAAGGTGCACTCCCCTGCTGCTTAGGGCAGTCTGCCAATGCAGTCCTGTCCTGGGTGGGGCTGGGGGACTGGACACACATCAAAGCAATTCACATTCAATTTAGGAGTTTCCTGCAAATTAAAGTAGCAAAGAAGGAGGAAGCTCTTCCATTTCTGCAAATAAACTATCCATTTTTCATTCAAATGGTGGTGCATGTATATTGGGACCAGGGAAGGGTCTTCTCTTTAGCCTTTGGTTATGAGAATCTGATTATTTCTCAAATTCCATACCTGCAGCCTCCAGCTGTACAAATACCTTTGAAGCTGTGGAATAATTGACAGAAGACTAAATTCTACCATGCATCACTCTTCTTTTTGACCATCTTCCCTTCAAAACAATGTTGAACAGACTATGTAGTGGGGGCACAGCAGCTTTGCCTATTTCTTTCGTTTACTGGAAGCTCCCAGTAAACATGGCAGCATCTCCCAGAAAGCAGTGCACAGGGTCCTGCTCAGTGGCTTGCATATACCAGGTAAACATTTACCTTTCTATCCTTACCAGAGATGGTAGCTTGTATGTGCACACAGAGTCAACCTGTCACTGTCACTCTCCTTTCTGCACAAAGTTAAGGAAAAAAATCACAAGCATTCTCCAGAATTAAAACAGCTGTGGGAATGCCTAAGTATCCTGAACTTGAATTTAACTATTTAAACTCTTTAAAGAGTCAAACTCTTTGATTTGACTCTTTATACTGCCAATCCAGTCCTCAGGCAGACACTTTACTGCCAGCTCTAGGCTTCTTAACTGCCCTTCCTTTTGGCTCTTAGTCCTTCCTCCATTAGCAACAAAACATATTATTCCATTGTAGAACCTAACTTACTCTCCATCATCTTAGCAGAGACAGCCACCTAGCACTATAAAGATGCCCCAGATATTTACTTGATTGTTTGGGGACTTTCATTTCAGGAGGAGTGGGACAAAATTTTAAGATTCAGATAAATTGCTGGGAACAAATTTACTAAGTTGTTCAAGTTTTTGTGATGTAGCTCTAAATTTTACCATCAAAATAGCCATTTGTGATCACGGAAAAGGTAAAAATCAGGGTTCTGATTTCACACTTATTGTAAGAGGTTGATTACTCACAGAACCTAAAAATCATGGCTTTTTTTTTTAAGAGGTTTTGATTATACTGGGTGGTCCATTTAGAAGACAGTCAATACAACCTTAATTCAAAAAAAAAATTTACAAATAGGCCACTTTAAACAAGAGCTATGAGGAGGATTATAAAAGTACTACAAGGTTCAGAGTTTATTTTGTGTAAATACAGTCTAGACTCATTATCTTACCCCCATCTCAGACCCTGGAGCAAAGAAAAGAATAAACCTGTTGAGAAAACAGGAAGGAGCTGGAGATATTGGGGACAAATGATAAAATGAGCATTTAAAGAGGCTCTTTGTGAAAAACAAAGCTGGCACCTTAATACAGGTGGCTCTGATGGGAGAGGGGCAGAAAAAGGAGTTGGAATATGTTTGAACACTCCCAAGTCAATTGCTCAGTAATGAGCCTTCTGGTACATGGAGCAAAGCCATGGACCAAGGTGGAAGTCCTACCTCTCAAGGAACTGAAGTCCCAGGTGTGATACTTACGCTGACACTGTCCCCAGGACTGGCGAGCCCAGCCCCAGCAGCAGTCAATCCTCCCACCATAACGACACAGGCCAATCGATGACACTATTTGCCTGGGCCACCTACCAAACAGAAAGATTCGAAATAAATACACTCTTGAGATTAAAAATAATTACCTCGGTTATTATTTTAGAAGAAAAATGTTAAACCACACCCAACAATTTTCTACAAACTCCTTTATGCCTGCAGAATTTTTAAGGATAAAACACCTTCACAGAAATAGTTCTGCTATGATCTAATTTCAAATTTCAGACAGTTAAACATCCCCTCCCCTAAAGATAAAACAGCTCTTTCCTACCCAAAGGTAGGGAAAAAAGAGAGAAGATCCTTTCTTAACTAGAAATAGTACCAGCTAAAATCAACAATTCTCAAGGCTGCCACTCACAGGATAGATTCTGAAGCTTGAAATAAAACAGATTCCTCAAAAACTCACACCTGTTACTGGAGGAAAACTAGTTTTGACTGATCCATCGTAAAATGTAAAGTATTAAATAAGATATGTCAAAATAGACAAAAATTTCTGCCTCATGGATGGCGAGAAAGGGCAGAAAGAGGCAGGTCTTTCAAAACCAAATGAAACAGCTTTTTCTGAGTTGTAACTTTGGTATAAACAGTCCCAAGAAAAAGACGTACTAGAAAAGGAAGTCTAAATAATAAAGTGTAGCCGACATCTCAAGTGTCCTTGTGGTTTGAAACTTGCCTGTATCAAAAATCCATATTGTTTCCCTCTCTAATGTAAATAACGACTAAAGAAAGTAAGCAGTTTCAGGATACAGATGTATCTACCAAATTACACTTCATAGAGTCACACCTAAATTGACATTTTAATTAGATGTTTTAGACACCTTTTAAAGCTACATTCAAATTCTATGCATATCACGTGATACATTTCTTCTTTTGCTATTTTTAGCCGGGGCTGGGTTCGAACCTGCCACCTATGGGGCCCGCGCCCTACTCCTTTGAGCCACAGGTGCCACTCCACGTGATACATTTCTTGTTGCAAATGTGTGTACCAGAAATACACGACATATCCAAGTGGGGGCAGGCAAACAATTGCTTTTATTGATGAAAGTAAATTTAAACTGAAAGGTCTCTGGCTTCAGGGCTCGGAAGAAAAAAAAATTCAAAGTCTAGCCTCTGGCTGCTACTCACATTTTCTTAAACATTCCTTATCTTTTCAATTCTGCTTTTCCTTTACCTGCCCTTTTTACCCCCAGGCCCAAAGTACAAAACAACCCCGAACTTTCTAAAGTTTCCCTCCTACCCCTACCCCCACCCCAGGTAGTAACAAGCAGTGGCGCTTTTTCTGGGCGCTGCCTTGGTTCCCCTCGGTCCCCCTCCAGGTACAAGAAAGCCACTCAGTCGTGGAATTGATTCGTTCCGAGATTGCAGGTAAAACAGGTGCAGCGTCTCTCCTGGGGCCCGCGCGAGGGCAGACACGGAGGGTGGGGGTCGCCGAAGGAGGGCGACTGGCTGGCGGTGTGACCCCAGAGTGAAACCCCTCAGCAGCAGCAGCCATATGCACGCCGGGAGAATCCGGTCTGTAGTCGTGAGGAGGTGGGGCGACCGAGCGCACCCTCAGGACAGTACACTCTGTCCCACACGCACACCCCGGAGCCCACCCGGAGGCGGGGGAAAGGCGCCGCGCGCGGCGGCCCGAGGCGCGGCTGAGTGACAGCGGAGACGCAGCCCGGGGTGGTCGGAACCTGTCAGAGCACGCGGCAGTCGGGTCTGAGCAGCGGCGCCCCGCGCGTCCCCTCTCCCTCCTCCCAGTCTCTCAGCGCCCCTCTCCCTGGAGAAAGCCGAGTGGGCAGGCAAACGGGTCTCCCCGGGAGCGCACTCGCCACCCACCCTCGGTCGGCGGCCTGACAGCTCCCAGCCGGGATCTCACCCCGCAGCCTGGACGTTTCCCCCACCGAACAGCTCTACACCAAGAGCAGTTTCCTCGCCAAGGGGTGTCCCGCGCGAACCCCGCTTTGCGCAGCTACCCGGCGCCCTCCGAGCTGACGTCTGGGGTTCGAGCCCGTCCTCTCCCCCAGTCCTAACCCCCGAGCCCGGAGTCGGGGCGGACGGCTGGCCCCGCCCCTGACTTCGGGCCGCCGCTCAGAGCGACTCGACGGCTGTCCTGCCGCCACGGCTGTGCGGTGGCCCACCTCCTGGAGAGAGGAGCCGCCTCCGTGACCGCTTAACCCCGCGGAGAGTGAAACTAGCGCGGGAACGAGGAGAGGGCGCCCGGGGGCCCGACTCACCTCCCGTCGAACTCGGCAGCCGCCTGCAGGTAGAGCGAGGACAGCAGCACCAGCGCCAGGAGAAAATCCATGTCTGGGCAGCGAGTCCCGCGGGGCAGCGCAGCTGCGCGCGGGAACAGGTTGGGGTGGTGGGCGCAGAGGGGAGGCGCGCCCGCCGCCTCGCTCCCCCGAGGAGCTGCGAGTCCCCTGGCTGCCGCCGGTTATTGCCGCCACTCCCGGAGGGCAGCGGCGAGACGCGCAGCCGGAGCAGGTCTGCGGCGCCGCGCCCGGAGCCCCTCCGGCTGCTCCCTCCCCGCCAGGGGAGGCGCTGCGGGGGGAGCCGCGCCGCCCGCGGGGACGTGGGGGGCGGGGTGGGGGGCGCGCGTGCGCCCGGCTCGCCGCCCTCGCAGCCCGGGGCTCAGGGCGAGCGCGCTCGGCTCCTCCCGGGGCCCCGCCGGGGCTAGCAACTCGGGCGCGGGCTCCGCGGGAAGGCGGCGTCTCTGGGGGGGGGCCCAGGCTAGGAGAAAAGTTGCAAGCCCGGCCTGGGGGAGGAAAAGCAGAGTGCTCAGCAGGAAAGGGCTCGGCGGCCAGGGAAAGAGCCCCGGGCGTAGGTGCGGGCTCCGCGGGTTCCGCCCAAACAGGTGGCGACCGCCCGGGCGAGCTGCGGCTTTCCCCGGAGGGCGGAGAAGCCCGAGACTGGGGAGGTTTATGGGACTGGAGCTGCGCGGTGTCTTAGTGAAACCACAGCACGACTTGGTTTAGCAAAGGCAAACTCAGGGAGTTAGCAAACTCAGGGAGTTTGCTTCTCCCGCGGAGCTGGCAAAGGCATATTTTTTTTTATTTTGTAACCAAACGAAAGAAACGTTTGGCTCTCCGGTTGAGTTTTGAAGAAGAAACGTGCAGACTGTTTGTACCTCCGCCAGCACGGCTCCGAGCACATTAGGATAGAGCTGCCCCTCTAGGGCCAAGTGGCCTCAAGAGAGGGAGGGCTGTTACTGCTTAATAGTCTTGTGGTTGACGTTGTGGGGATCATTTAGAAACCATTTTAAGGCATCATTGCTATGTTGTTACAGAGTAAAAAGCATTGTACTAAAAAGGACTGTGTTCATATGAAAACACACGATTCTCTTAAAATACACATTAAAACATAAGTCTGATGAAATCGCCCCTCTTCTGAAACCCCATCCTGAATAACTGCCCTGTGCAGTTATCTGACATCGCCCGTGTCAGGTGGTCTCCTGTTCGCTCTTCCCTCAGTCCATGGCTGCAGGCATGCCCCCACCTTCGGGTCAGTGACTGGCTGGATCCAGATACCTACATGGCTCGCCCCTGCAATGACGACTATCATGACCCTATTTAAAATTGCAGCTGACTCATTCCTCCTGCCCCCTGCCCTGTTTCACTTAGTCTTTTCTCCACACTGCTCATCTTCTATTTTACCATGTTGTTTGCTTATTTCTTGTTTGTGTGTTTTCTTTCTGCCAGAATGCTAGCTCTGCAAGGGCAGTTGTCTTTGTGCCAACTAGACACTAACGGTGCCTGGCACATAGTAGGTACTCATAATGTTCGTTGAATGCATTTACTCCATTACAACCCCCCCACCACACACACACACACATACCGCCTTTATTTTCTTTCTGAGGTCTCCACAACTTCAAAGTTTTAATGGAAAGTTCTGTGGCAGGGTAACCTCGCTATCCTGATCTCTCTCAGTGTGTGTAAAAACAGGAATTTTCTGCAAGAAAAGGAAAAATAATGGTTTCAACTTAAATGACTCTTTGATTTCTAAGTTATTTTCTGTTAGCAAAACAAGTTTCTATTTTAATCTCAAGAAACATCCATGCCAATTCAGGCCTGGGACATTATTTTAGGCAAACAGCTTGGTGTCATCCATTTCAGATCCTTCTAATGAAGTCCAAAAATGTAGGAGTCAAAATATTTTTTCTGCAGAAAATCAAATTTTTGTAAGTGTAATGTAGGCTTGGTTCCAGGCTCCAGAGCTTACTCCTTTGCTGTTTTTTTTTGATTGTTTGTTTGTTTATTGGTTCCTGGGTTGGATTTGCAAACAAGGCCCACCAGAGCAATAGATGATTAGGGAGAAAGGGGCTAACATATAGGTTATAAAACTGGAGAGAGAAGGAAAGGATGAAGAGTGATGGGTGGAAACAGGATGAATCTCTGTAGCAAAAGTGTAATGCCCCATCTGCATTCCTCTTTTCCTTTTTTTTTCCATGATTTTTTTTTTTTTTTTTGGCCTAGAAACACTTCATTCATCTTCCTTTTTCGTTTGGATAATCTCCACTTACCCTTTGGGTCTAAACTTAGTTGACACTTACCCAGGAAGCCCTTTTTGAGTATTTGCTTGGCTGAGATTCCTGGGGTATAGGCTTTGATAACACTGTGGATTCTCTAGAATAGCTCTTAATGCATTGTGTTATAATTGCTTCTCTACCTCTCTGGGTCCCTGGGGACACTAGTCTAATGACTAGCAGGAGAAGAGTAGTGCCTGTTTTGTCACTATATCCCTTCTGTTCAACACAATGCCTGGCGCAAGGCTTACATTCAGCAAAGATTAAATAGATTGGATGAGATTGGATTGAATTCTGCTTGGTGAACTTCAGTTTCTCCCTTCAGTAAGCTGTGGCTAATTCTATTGGTCTTTGTTAGATCCTGGAATGAGGAAACTCTAAAGAACTTCCAAGATCTAACTGGTTATTGTGTTGCAGTGATGACCACCAGTGATCATTCCAAAGGAGAGATAAAATTACTGCAGGAGTGACATATGACTATCTCAGTCTTAAAAACAGAGGTCCTTAAACTTTTTAAACAGGAGGCCAGGTCACTGTCCCTCAGACCATTGGAGGGCTGGACTGCGGGCCCCGGGATGAGTTGGCTGCTAGTCAGGACAGGCAGCAGCGGCAAAAACACCTGGCCTGCTGGATAAATGTCCCCGGCGGGCCACATGTGGCCCATGGGCTGTAGTTTGAGGACGTCTGCTTAAAAACATACAAGCAAGAATAAGATCAAAACAGCTAGCTTTTAACAATACCTATAGGAGGACAAACTTTTGGTTAGGTTTCATACCATGTAATGACACCTTGCAAGTGGTCATCTCAATTTTCTCATGCAGAAATAATAATCTATCACCGATCGCAATGTGATACAGAGAAATAACAAAATAAAACTGAAAACACACAACTTCAAACACTGGGAAATCAGAAGCTCTTAGAGAGTGAATGAGTCACACACACACACATAAGTATTTATTGACAGCTTATAATATATTGGCCATTTCTAGGTACTGAAATTTCAGCTCAGAACAGGGCAAAATTTTGCCCTCTAAGGGTTTACATTCCAGTGGGGGAGCAAGTAAGGAACCCAGAGAGAGGGGAAAGGGTGAAAAGAAAATAGAGAGAGGTTAAAGTTATACAAAGTGTTGGAGGTGTGATTTTTTTAGGTAAAGTGGTTTGGTCACCTCTGGGGAGATAGCATTTGCCCAGGGACTGGGTAAAGTGAGGAAGAGAGTTGCATAAGGACGTGGGGTGGGGGTGGTGCCCAGGCAAAGGGCACAGCAAGATGTGTTTTCTCTGTTGAGTTCTGAAATGAGTTTTGTAGTTGCTGTCATACAAACTGTTGAACAAGCTATTGCACCTCCAACGCTATGTGCAGTGATGACACAGGCACAGGATTTTTGCTTTAAAATCTATTAAGAAAAGGCTACATGTGGGTGCTCGTTCACAGCAGTTTTGATTCCCAGCTGGGCAAGGATTTTTGGAAACCTCTGCTGTGGCCGGTGGTATAGGAAATACTTTGATTCGTGCAGGTGAGGTCACCATGCTTCTCTTAGAGTCTACCTTGTTTGTAATCTTTCACAGGCACAGCAAAGCAACTATTAAAGCAGATCCCTTCCTTGGGGGGTGGTACGCGATTTACAACCCTTTTTCTAGTAGTAAAAACTTGAAGGGCAAATGTTGTTGCTTTAAGGAGCTAAAACAGACATTTGCAGGCCAGACTCACGGTTTCTGTGGCAACTAGATTTCCTCAAAACCTTAATAGACTTCTGCTCTAATTGCTTCCAGTCAGTTCCTTGTGAAGATAACAACCACCAAAGTCTTTTCTAGTCCCAGTTCTTAAGTCTGCTTTCTTTCTTTGCTTCCTTGTGTTGAGACTTTACTCTCTCATCTTAATAGAGGCCACCTTGAGGCTCACTAAAATAACAGAGTTCTTTGGGAAGGCAAGACCCTTGCTCAGACAAGGCTTGGATCCCTTTATTTGTATTAATGTTTGGGATATAAAAGCAGGTGTCTTTTTCAGCCCTGGAAGGCTCCAAAGGAGAATCCCCTGAAGACATTCTCATTTCCTTCCATTTATGATTACGGAGATCTTTTTCTTATGATTCCTTCCTAAAAGAAACAGGGAGCAGTGAAATACACTAACATCCTCAGTTTTTACAACTATCTTCCTTCAATCTGGATATGTATGTGCCTTGTAGGTAATTACTTTATGAAATAGCATAAGCTGCATCAGCATTCCAGTCTACTCACAGTGACCGTAGTTATACCTTACAAAACCACAGTCCAATCATGTTGTCCCTCCAATGACTTCTCATCACAAGCAGAGTATAAAGTAAACTCTTTATTCTTTCCTCCTGCCTATCTTCCTAACTACACATTAGCCTATTTAGAAAACATAGGTTTTTTGTTAAGATATCATCCCTTCTATGTGAATTAAGGTAAAGTGTTAAAATACTATCACACAGACACTCAACAATACAAAGGCTTTTACACCATATTTATTTCTTCATTATGTTACAGACAGGTGAGTGTGTCAGGTTGGTGGGCAGCTCTGTTTCATCAGTCAGGTCCCAGGCTGACAGTGATGCTCCTACCCTCACAGTCCCTCTCATGGTCACCAGCAGGAAGCAGGAAGAGAAGGTATGAGGGAGGCGCACCTGTTTTCATAAAGAGCAGGGCCAAGAAATAGCTCCTGTAACTGCTACTCACTTTCCCTGGAAAGAAGTACATCAGATAGATGGTCACACCCAGTTACAGGGGAGAAAGGGAAATGTAGCCTAACCATGTGCCCAGCCTCATTTCTGTCACAGCAGAAGACAGGGAGAGCAGAATTTGGAGAGCAGCTAACAGTCTCCGTCACGGACAAGTATGAGATGTCTGCACACATTCAGGTGGGAAGTCAGATAGGCAGGATGAAGTCCAACTCTGCAGCGTGGAGGAGAGTTTGGGGCTCGAGAGATAATTTGGCAGTCACAGTAGTAGTCAGGTCCCTGAGACTGGAAAAGGGTGAGTGATTG